GCACCCCGTTCCTCCAAGTTCTCGTTTGGGCTTCCTGGATTATTCTGGCGCGCTCCTTCAGTCTCTCTTTGAGCTCCTCCCGGTAATAGTCTGTGCGGGCTTCTTTCGCCAGTCTCTCGGCTCTTTTTGCCTCTCGAGTGGCTTCTTCCACCTCCCGAGTCCACCAAGGAGAGCTGTAACCGCAGTTCGTCTTCTTTCGGGGGGTGCTTTCACCCGCAACCCAGGTCAGCCAGTCGATTAAATCGTCAAACGCCTTGCTCAGCCCGTCGGCCGTCCGGATTCTGACCATCAGGCGGTCCGGCCCTGGGCGAGAGAGATATATACCGGAGTTTGGAGCCTCCTACAGAGAGTGGAGGAGGGGGGGACCATTTGAGGTGGACCTTCGGAGAGCCTCCTAGCATCTTTGAGTTCGGCCTCGTGATTTCCCATTCGTGTGTGTGTGACACCTTGGGTCAGTGGCTGTTGGTCTTCCAACAGGCGGAAACAGCGGATTCGAGCCGGCCGTGTGACTGTCGACAGCAGCCCCAGCATGTCTGTGCAAACCTGTATAATATCTGTGAATCAATCAGGGATTGACTGGGGAATATTGATTCCGGGCTGTCAATTGCCAAGTGCCGCCTGCTGGTCTGTCGAGGTTGTCGGGCCGCGCCGCTGGCTCTCAACACCGATATGGCGGCCGTTGGTCTTGTGGTTCTTCTTGTGAGTTTTCAGGCTAGCTCCGGACGCAAACGGTTCCTGCGAGATTGCTCAGAGTTGGGACTGTCACATCCCAGTTTGTAATTGCGGCGGGTGGTCGATCCTTCTTACTAGGGGAAACAGAGCGTGCCGGGCAGAATATCGAATCGACGGTAGATCTCGCAGGGCCAGACGTTGATCTGCCCTTGCTGGACCTAGTTAGCCGACACACTGAATGGATGGTTTGGGAGCACTGTCATGAACTCACCTCGTCGAACTCGAACGGCGGAAGGTTAGGATGACGGAGCCCACCTTGTCCATTCTCGTACTAGATGGAATCAGCCTTCATACTTGGGAAGGTAATCTCGCGTCAGCAACGGGTCTCTAGAACAGACAATCGGAATGCAGATCACTTACCGAGGTCTTATAGTGAGGCATGATCGGTAGATGGTTCACGTGTAGAGTGAATGACACGGGTGGAAAGTCGGCAGAAAGGGAATTCTAAGATGAAAAGCGATGCGGATGATGCATTTTGAGTCAAGTCTGGTGCTGTGCAAAGGCACGGTGGGGTTGAGGAGCACGCAAATTGCTACTCTGAAGTCTGGCAACACTTTGGCGGGCTCATGGGACGAGAACATGCCCGGACGTGCAGGCCATCCAGCTACAACACGTCTCAAGCCTAGACGTCTAGCTTCTCCCTCACATCCCCTTCACTGCCCTCCAACCAACTCGTCAATAATCCTCTCCAGCGTCTTCAGCGAATCTAGCTTCTCATTCTCCTCCTTCAGCTCCACCGCCCGCTCCTTGAACCTCCTCTGCCCCAACACATTCTCCACCCCGGCCCGGATGGCGTCCTCGCCGGGGTTTTGAGCCCTCAAATTGACTGCGACTCCGGCGTACTCGGCGCGGGCGCACACCTCGGCCTTGTCGGCGAGCGTGCCGGCCAGGACCATGGGGACGCCGTTCATGACGCCCTGCATGAAGCCGCCGTAGCCGGCGTTGGAGACGAAGACGTCGGCATGGGGCAGGACGGCGTCGTAGGGGAAGTAGTCGACCACGATGGTGTTGGCGGGGATTGTGACGCTGCTCGGGAGCTCGGCGCCGCGCGCGCCGAGGGTGGCAACGACGAGGAGGTCGGCGCGGTTGGCGAGCGCGTTGATGGTCGGTATGATGAGATCGATGTAGTTGCGGTGGGCGGTGCCCTGGGTGACGAAGACGAGCTTCTTCTTGTCGGGCGAGTCGGCGGGGAGGGCGGTGTTGTTGGTGATGGTGGGCCACCAGGACGGGAACTCAAAGGTTGGGCTAAGGGGTTTCAGGGGCAGGCCGCCGATGAAGCGCAGCTTGGGTTTGGGCTCCGGGAGGGGGTACTCCAGGCTGGGGCTCGTGGCCAGGACTGTTACGTCGCCGAGGTCCAGGAGTACGTCGAAGAAGGAGCCGGTGGCGGGCCGGGTGGCACCGAGGGCTTTTAAATGGTCGTTTAAGTGTTGCACCACGCTCGCCACGGCCGGCTCCATGGCGTCGGAGATGGACCGCCAGAGTGCAAGGTTCTCGGGAGTGTGGTCATAGCGGAGGCCGGGACCAAAGGGAGGGATGCTGTCGTGTTTTATGGCATAGATGCTGGTGTGGAAGTTGATGACTTTGGGCAGGGAGGAGTATCCCTCGGGGAGCGGTGCCCCGTAAACAAAGGGCGCGAGACCATTCGAAAAGCTCTCATGGAGAATGAGGACCTCACGATGAGGCTTCTCCCTCCGGATCCGTTCAAGCGTCTCCTTGAGCACACGGTGAGCTACCGGAATCGAGTCGGCAAAGATATGCTTCAAGTTCCAGAGTTTATCTCCTGGCGTTGCCTTGCCGATGAGGTGGGCCCAGACCCATGGGTTCTCGACGAATTCAGCGCCTATTTTCTCGATCGAGGCCTTGAAATCGGGACCGGCAATGAAGTAAACTGTAAAGCCCTGCTTGATCAAGTGCTCAGATATCGAGAGGAGGCCGGCCGTGTGGCCAGGAGCATTGAACGCAGTGGCAACGATGATTGGCTTCTCCTTGGGAACCATCTTGCATGTCTCTCCGGAGTCCGGGAGCGTCAAGTTAATATGCCGAGGCGGCTGACTTGTGAGGCCGGAGAACAAGAAAGCGAGCACATTGCAGAAGCCCTTATAAGAATCAAATTAGTGATGCCTGACAAATTTGTTGTTCAGACCTCGTTGTCAAGTCAACCCACGAGGAAATGCATCTCGGTCGAGCCCGGCATGCGGAATCTGACATGCCCGATCCTACAGGCTTACATTGCAGGAGCGCTTATAATAATTAAATTAGTGATGCCTGACAAATTTGTTATTCAGGCCTCGTTGTCGAGTCGACCCACGAGGAACTGCATCTCGGTCGGGGCCGGCATGCGGAATCTGACATGCCCGATCCTACAGGCTTCCAACGTCTGCTCGTTGCCCCGATAGGCAGAACAGCACGGGATGGAACGGGGAAAGGTTGTACTCGGATCGGCCATCGTTCCAAGTCCGACGGTCTCCGATGTCGACAGCTTGGCAGGAGCGAGAGATGGATGGATGGATGGAATTTATTTCGCCCGGAGGCGCGAAGCCTAAAGGGCCTTGGCACGCTAACTACTGTACATCCAATTCGTTGACGTTCAATCATCAACTCGTACAAGCCCTTTACTCTCTCCGCTTTTCTCACGCCACTAACTGTAGCCTCTTGACTTAGTTTAACAGATCGACTTGGAGGCTGCGTTCTCCAAGTGTTCAGCGTCCTATCTTCAGCAGCTAAAGCGGGATCTGCTGGTTGAGGCTGTGTAGTGTTAGTGGAGCTCCCCCTACTGTGATTTTCCCAATCTTCGTCGTTCCTCGTCAAGTTCCCATCTCCCTGTCGCCATTGCGTATTTGATCGTTGCCAAGACTGCTTTCATGTCTGGCGACCACATTTTTGGATCCGATGGTGCTTTCCCTCCCAGGTAGAATGAGAGGCTCCCTCGCCTTGCCACTGTGCATTACAACATGTCTTCCCTCAGAGCGAGAGATATTCACCAATTCGCTGCACGGTCGCTGACCTGCTGACCAGTGGCGCGCACGGACCCGCCCACCATGACGCGCACAGATCTTCACCACGCCGCAGAGCCTACAGTAATGGAGCTTGCTGTCTCTTCACCATCCCTGCTGACCTTATCGCTGACCTCTCCCAGCACACCCTGAGTCCAGAGGCGGGCTATAGCGCCCCTCCAGCATTGTAGCCCCTGTGTTTCCGCGTTTCAGGATCACGAGGTAGAGTTCCCGGCCCTGGATATCTAACCAGAGGCCCGCTTCTTCCTGCTCATTACGCCTGCTCTTGGCTGATACTTGGAAAGCACACCCCTGCATGGGACGCGGCAGGCTACCGTACCTTGTGTAATCAGTGGAACGAGGGGCCGGGCTCGAGCATCGCGTCATGGCGTAGGGCCGTTAACTCCGTTGAGAGCTTCCCGGCGAAGAAGAACAGGCAAACCACTCCTACCAAACGGGTGTGCTCAGGGCCATTGTGGGACAGCAAAACGCCGAGCACCTTCGCGCACCCATCCACCACAAATCTGCCTAGCGCCCGGAGGTTGCGACACCGTTTGTGACATTGCACGATCAATCTGAGGTGGCCAGGGTGGTTCACGATGACCAACAGAGACAACTCTCATGCTACCTAGAAGCGTATGCCGACACTGGAGCCGACGCCGTACGAGAATTTGTGGAACGAGCGGTGGGTATGGCAGGGAGGAAATCTACGGTTGGGTGTAAGGGCTTTTGAGAAACTGTGGCGTTTTATATGGACATTCTGTTTGAAGGCGAGGAGAGAGCGGAACCCGAAAGTTAGAGACCGGCTTCAGCGGATGTTGTTATACTACAATTATTTGGGCCTTTAAGGTAGTTTGACTCAGCTGGAGTGGTTGATTGGTCGGAATAGAGATACAGAGTGTTGAGGAGTGGGTTAGGACGACACTTGATTTGTGACGGATTGAAAATATGAAATAGAATGTCAATGTTCGTCGCCACCGCTGGTCTGTCAAGAAACAAGGGTCGTCGTGTAGGGATGCTTTTCTCATCGCGATTATTCAGGTTTTCAACCAGAAAATGATTGCAGAATGTATTGGCCTTGTTGAGTCTTGCAACAATCGTTCTCAGCGTCACCTGAGTCACTGAGTGCTAGAGGCCTCGCTCTATGCTCTGTTTCCTAGGTACAGTCTGTAGGTCTGGCATTGAAGTACTTGGGGAAGGTAGTCAGGAACGAGTTAAATAGAATAAAGTCGCTGTTCGGACTATTCTGGCAGCGCAGCAAGTCCTTCCTTCAAGCTGCTACGCAGCTCGCACCGTTTCCACTATCCTCGACATAACCTTCCGGGAATTTCTCTGTCAGTCTCCTTATCTCGTCTACCGCCCTACAACCAGGCTCGTCAACGGTTAAAATGATAATGCAGAGAGTATTATTCCCTTACATCTGAAGATACGCATTGTTATCCGGAAACAGCGTAGCTGCGTGCAGGTTGAATCTCCTAGTTGATGTGATGTTGTTAATGGTGCGAGAGCTTGGTTGGTTGTCTGCCGAAGGAGTTCTCACAGCGCATAGAGAGCATTCCGGTCATCGAAATCCGTCACAGGATCGGACCAGTCCGCTATGTGTGATTTGTAGGCCTCAAAGTATGGTGAAGTGAAGCGGTTTCGGGCCGGGCGCCAATTCCCAAACTCGTCTAAGTGCGGCTTGCCTTGGTCAGCGGCCTCGCTTGCGTTCTACAACCGCGAAATAACCTGAAGGGGAAAAGCCTCAATGACACCTCACATTCGTAGTGGGCCCAAAAGCTGGACGGGTCGAAGATAATGGAGGCTCCAGTCTCTTCAATGACGGCGGCGTTACCGTACCATAGGTCCCCGTGAACCAGTGATGGTTGAACCTGGCGTCCATTGCTCTCAAGCGGCCGCAGAAGCCGGGGAATGACTTTCTCAAACAGCGCAGGACACAGGGCCTCCAACTCAGGACTGGGGCCAGCTCTTTCCTCGCGGACTTTCAGGATATGACGGAGGCCATTGGCAAAGAAGGCCTCCCAGCTATCGCACCATGTGTTGTCCTGTGGGAGGTCACCATTGTAGGTCGTGCAATGAAAGCCGAACTTGCCCTCGGGCGACGAGTGACTCGAATGCAGCCTGGCCAGCTTCTCACAGAAATCATTGGGCTCGGGGAGATCCTCGGAGAATTCGTAGAATTTGCAGAGGTAGAAGTGTGCATCGGAGTGGTCGTGGAGACTCCCCCAGGCGATGGGCTTGGGGCAGAAATCGGGCGTGATGGCGTAGATGGCAGACGTTGCCTCGTACTCGCCCTTCAGTGCCTGAAGTCCGTGGAACCCGATCGAGATCTGAGACCACCTTCAGCATATATCCCCGTCGGAAAATGGAAGTTCAGGCCTACCAGACCTTGATGAAGTAGCTTTCTTGTCCGCCGTTCACACCGAGAACATCGATTCTGAAAGCCTGCGCCCACGCTGATGTGTTGCCGCGTTGCACACGTAAGATCGCTCCAAGGTCCGGAAGCACTGGTCGCAGGACAAAGTGCAGTTAGCAGAGTTCACTAGGTACATCGAGTCATGAGGTCTGAAGGGCAGAAACTGACCGGCAGTTACACTCGGGTCGACTTCACGCCGGGTGAACGCATCTGAAATTTCGCTCAAGAGGCTCAAGTCTCCCATCTTTTCGGGAGAGTCAGTGTCGAAGCGGCCAGAACAGCCAGACTGGTGGGGTGATGGCCTGACAGAATGAGACGAAAAGTGGACGACGTGTCGGTCCATGGAAGCTCAGGGTATTGAATGTGCAGGATCAACATGCGCCTCACATCTGCAAGAGTCATGGCTTCGAGCCAATCGCTCCAGCGGGAGGTTACATTCAAGGTCGCACTTGCCGCAGTGACTTGCCAACCAAGCAGACCAATCTCGCTACTCGCGAGTCCTTGGCATCCTCGAGCGGGGTAATGATGTGGATGCTTCTTCTTGCGTGCGCAATTATGGATGACAGATATCGTTGCAAGACACAAACCGTTCAGGTTGGTCTTGGTCCTTACCCTTACTGAATCTTTGGACAGAAAGATACCTTGCGAAATTGGCCATGGAAATTCCTACATTCTTCACCCTGAACAATGGCTTGAAAGTGCCAGCTATTGGCATTGGCACTTTCCAAGGGGAAGGGGACAACTCGAAAGTGAAGGATGCCGTCAAAACTGCCCTGAAACTGGGGTACAGGCATATCGACGGTGCCAATGCCTACGGAAATGAAAAGTATATTGGCGAAGCAATCAAGGAAAGCGGCGTCCCGAGAGATGAGCTCTTTGTTACGTCCAAGCTGTCAGTTCTCGCCCTGGCCCTCACTGATCAGTTCTGAGATGAAAAACCCTGAGTGACAACTGACATTTGAGTCCTGGACGTCTTGTATGCAGGGCACAAACTTGGCATGAACCAATGGATGTAGAAAGGGCCCTCGACGTGTCTCTCAAGGACCTGCAATTGGATTATGGTAAGTCCGCCTCCTGAAATGCCGAAAGTCAAGGTAAAATGGGCGACAGTACATCTAACCATTCTACTTGCAGTTGATCTGTATCTTATGCATTGTACGAAACCCTTTTTGTGTGTTTGATAGCAACCATAGGCTGACTGCCCACCTCAAGTTCCCCATGCGTACAAAGCTGGCGAGAACAACAAGACCATCCGCCACCCGAGCGGCAACGGAAAGGTGTGTACACGATCTGGCCACCCCGTACCTTGCACATTGAAAAGTCCCTCACCTCTAGCACAGCCTGTCATTGATTATGAGCTTTCAAGACGATACCCAGAGACCTGGCAGGCCATGGAGAACCTGGTTGCCTCGGGCAAAGCCCGTTCAATAGGGAGGTCAGGCCAGTTTGCACCAGAGGATTCAAAAGTGCTGACCCAACCACAGGTCTGTCGAATTTCAATATCCTCAAGACAAAGCGGATCCTCGAGGTTGCCAAGATTGTTCCAGCTGTCAACCAAGTCGAGATTCATCCGTAAGCAGCCTAGAGCCCCGTCGTCACATGCCGCTGACCCTTACCATCGGAATTAGGTTCTTCCCACAGAAAGAGCTACACGAGTTCTCAGCCAAACATGGAATCCTCCTGATGGCCCATCAACCCCTCGGCGGTCGACCAGTGGGTGTGGTACGAGCCCATCCAGACGAGCCCTATCCGACTGAGGATTCCACGGTATGCACCTTACGCTCTGACCTGCAACTGGCAAGCGTGTGAGTCGATAGAGGAAGAGCAGCCGCGCTAACCCTGGATCACAGATTGTCAAAGTCGCCGACGAGTGCAACATGTCTCCGGCGCAGGTCAGTCGAAATCCCAACCAATTCCAAATCTTTTCCTACAAGCTGCTCACATCTTGAAACATGATGCAGGTGTGCCTTTCCTGGGCCGTCCAGCGCGGAATCCCGGTAGTCCCAAAGTCGGTGCAGGAAGGACACATGAAGCAAAATTTGGAGCTGAAGCGATTGCCGGATGGCCTTTTCGACGAAGTAAACACCGTATCCTCTCACCGTGGCCCGATACGCTTCCTGGACCCCAGCCTGCACATAGGGTTTGACATCTTCGATGAAGAGGTTGACCAGCCAGTTGCCAATCGCGCCCCATGGGATTAGATGGCACCAGTGCTCATCCATGTGCAGATCTGGTTGCCACTTCAGGGCCCAAGGCCTGGGTTAGGGAGGTGTTGAGGGTCCGGGAGATATGCTTCTCCTTTTCCCCGATTACTTAATTTGATCTCACCAACTTTATATAACCCCAATGCAAGTTGACTCAAGCTGCCTTGAACGCCAACCTGGAAGCTGCATCCTCGAGACCTGGCGGTTCGCTCCATGCCCTGAGCTTTGCAACAGCAAACTACATAGTGATCCAGCCCTGGGTGTTCCGTTAGCGTGACAAATGGCGGGCACAAGACAAGCACGGAGAGAAAAGATTTTAAGGTGGGAGATCAGAAAATTGGAAGATGAAAAATGAACACGAAGGCAGGTAAAGAGCAAGAGAAATGGGGAAACGAAGATAAGATGACCAGCAAGGAAGGTAAAAGTGAGAAAAATGGAGAAGGAAAGGAGAGGAAGAAAGAATGAAGACGGACAAGAAGGTGAAAGTGAAGTAAGATATGAATTGTAACTGTACCTCTTTGAGTCCAGGTTCCGCTCCCAAAGCAGGATAGATTGTTAAGAGATCTATCGCTAAACAATATACCCGTCTCGATGCTTTAACGAATGATGTTTTATATGTTCTGCTCCTACATCTCAACTCCTTGTATCAGTGATGTGCCACTCCATATATATCAGTCTGTCTGTCACGGATACCTATCCACACCGAGGAACACCGATCTCGCGACTAGAGGAGGGTTGCCTCTTGGACTCCAACCAAACTTGCTTCGTGCCCGGAAAATCCTCGCACCGGCTTTTTCCGCCCCACTTTCTAAACGTAGCTCATACTGTGGGCAGCCAATCCCCAGCATGCGCCCTCAATGCAAGCGCCGCTCGGGATGAGGATGCCGCACCCAACAAGACTCCGATCCTCCGTTTCTAAACTTGACAGCATCACTCCCAATCTCCACATTCTTGCTGAGCCCAAGCTCTATGGATTTCTGGCTGCCTCAAGCGGCAGATGGATCAGGTACGTTTGTCACCAGGCGGGGGACTTGATGCTCGGAAAATCCCGCCCGGCAATAGCCGGTTGGATGACCTCAGCCATGCGGGAGAACCGCCTTGTCACCTGGCTTTGGAAATTGAAAACATGAACCTTGGACCACCTACCACATCCCAAACTGTCGGTATCTGGTTCTAGCTAACGCCATATTCGCACCAGCAGCCCAAGAGACCCTTCGCCGGGCTCCTGTCTCGATCCGGGACGGACAAGTCCCTGCACAGAAACTTTACCCGTATCGACACCGCATCGTCCTCCCTCTCCATTTCCGTCTCCTCGCTCGATCCCGATGACGAGAAAGGCCCCCTTGGCCTGACGACGCTTTACGAACCAGAGCCGCCCAGAGAGCCCCTTGTCGATATTGTCTTCATCCACGGATTAGGAGGAGGCAGCCGGAAAACATGGTCCTACTCGTCCCAACCCCACCACTACTGGCCGCGATCGTGGCTCCCCGCCGACAATGACTTCCTCGACGTCCGCGTTCATACATTCGGTTACAAAGCGGATTGGGGGGAGCGCCGGGACAGCATTCTGGACATCCACGACTTCGCCCAGTCATTGCTGGGTGCGCTACGGAACCATCCAGGTATCCGCCGGTCCGGCACCCGCATTATCTTTGTCGGTCATAGCATGGGAGGATGCGTGGCCAAAAAGGCATACATTCTCGCCCGTCAGGACCCAACGGCTGCCGATCTCGCCGCTAGAGTGCAGTCAATTTTCTTCCTAGCTACACCGCACCGCGGATCGGATATGGCTTCCATCCTCGAGAACATGCTGGCCATGGCTTGGGGAAAGAAGCCCTATGTAACCGACCTGACACCTAACTCGTCGGCCTTGACGACAATCAATGATGCCTTTCGTCACTTTGCGCCTGAGTTGCGCCTTTGGTCGTTCTACGAGACTTTGCCCACCAAGAGCGCAGGAACCATGAGTCGAATCGTTGTCGACCGACACTCGGCGACGCTGGGCTATCACAACGAGGAAATTGCCGGCTTGGATGCCGACCACCGCCATGTTTGCAAGTTCGACACGCCGGCTGAACCGAACTACAGGACGCTTCGAAATGCCCTACTCACAGCCGTTGATTTGATTCGAGCAGCGGCCGGAACGGAGCAGGGACCTCGACTACCGGGTGACAAAGACGATACTTCTTCTACGGTAACCTCTAAAACTCGGATGTCGCCTGCTGAGGCTACCTCGCGTCTCCGCTCCTTTCTTGGAATACGGAAGCCGGTCGAAAGCGACGTTGCCACGCTTCATGTGCTCAAGCAGCCCGGCTCCTGTGAATGGTTTACCTCGAAAACATGCTTTGTCTCGTGGCGAGCTGGCACGGCGCCCGGGATTCTCTGGCTCGTTGGGAGGCCTGCTGCGGGAAAATCCGTTCTCTCGGCCCATGTCATTGAGCACCTGAGCGCCACGCATGTGTACTGCAGCTACTTCATTTGCAAGCACGGCAAGGCGGGTGATTCGACACTGAGCGACTGTTTTCGCTCCTTGGCCTTCCAGATGGCCATGCAAGACGACGTGGTGAGAGAAGCGGTACTCCAGCTCGCTCAAGACGACTTCACGTGGGACATAACCGACGAAATCACAGTCTGGCGAAGGCTTTTCGCGGGCTGCATCTTCAGAACACCATCTTTGGCGCAACACTTCTGGGTCGTCGACGGAGTGGATGAGTGCGTCAACTTCAACGCGCTTTTCGCACAGAGATTGCTAGTTTCCCTCCCCAAAGAACTCAGACTGTTTGCCACGAGCCGCAACGTGGAAGAGATTGAACGCGGCCTAGCTCCCCTGATACCGAATCGCGGCTATTTGTACCTCTTGTCTGATGAAGACACCGCCGAGGACATACGGCTATTCCTGACCACGGGCCTGATGCAGCTGGGTCGACCAGAAACCCTCGAGGATCGCGAACTCATGTGCGAAAAGATCATACAAAAGTCGTCTGGCTCCTTTCTCTGGGCACGTCTTGTGTTCCAAGAGTTCGAGAATGCGTGGACAATGGAAGCTATGAACGCTGTACTACGCGAAATACCTCGAGGCCTCTCCGAGCTATACTCCCGGATGGTGCAGTCCATTGAGCAAGACTCGCGTAAGCTGGTTTTGGCAAAATCTATCTTGACTTGGGTTGTGCTCGCCTGCCGCCCCTTAACGGTGGAGGAGTTGCGGTGTGCGGTCAAACTCGACATCAACCAGACCCTTCAGAACGCGACCAAGGTGATTCCAGATCTGTGTGGACAGCTGGTGTTCATTGACCGGCAAGACAGAGTCCAGGTCATACACGACACTGCGCGTGAATTCCTGCTTACTGAGTCCTTCGGCCTGGCCATCTCCATTCATAAGCAGCAAAATCACACCCGACTAGCGTCGCTGCTCCTTCGATATCTCTCCGGCGATGTCTTGAAACCGTTGCCGGCAACGTCACAACCAATTTCCGGGCGTCTCAGAGGTTTCTCAAAGCTTGCTGTCACCCCATCAACGTTGGATACGTCTTTGCTCGAGTACGCAGGCACCTTTTTCTCGGAGCATGTGTACCGAGCTACCTCTGCCGACCACCAGCTCATGGATGACTTGGCCAACTTCCTCCTGGCCAACAACGTGCTCTCGTGGATTGAGCGCATTGCCAGAACTGGCGACCTCACGGCTATATCGCGGACGGCCATAAATTTGCGCGAGTACTATGGGCGAAGAATGAAGTACGTGCCGCCAACAGACAGATCGATGCAACTTGTCGACGGCTGGGTGACTGACCTTATCCGCGTGGCCGCCAAATTCCGGGCTGCGCTCCTTGACTGCCCTTCGTCCATCCACTCACTGATACCTCCCTTGTGTCCGTCTGAGTCAATCATCTCTCGAACATTTGGTAGGAATCCCCGCCCCTCCCCTGCCTCATCCAACTTGCATGTGGAAGGCCTGTTACCCGGGTCATGGGACGACTGCCTGATTCGAATGGACTTCCAAAACGGCCAGACCACCGCACTCGGCTGCGGCGATCGCTTCTTTGCCATTGGGCTCTCGACAGGCCAAATCTCTCTCTACGATCCCACTTCACTCCAGGTTGTACGAAGGTGCGACCACCTGGAGCGCGTCAATGTCTTGGAGTTCAGCCCTGAGGACTTGCTGCTTGCTTCTTGCGGTCCCAAACGCCTTGTCATATGGGATATCAAATCTGGTACCAGTCTGCACGCATTCTCTTTGTCGTCATCCTCGCTGGCCGTGACATTTCTCAGTCTGGACGAGGTTCTCTGCGCCTTCAGGTCTTGCGAATTGATTAAATGGTACGTCAAGCACAAACTACCCCCGGCACCCACAGCCTTCTCCCCACCCCTCCCAAAGAAAAGAATAAAAGAAAAGAAAAAAGAATTTATTTTATTCTCTTTCCTCTTCCTCTTCCTCTTTATCTTCCTTCTCTTGTATCTTCATCTTCCCTTTTGTTACTGGTTTACCTTTCCTTTTTTTATGCTTTCTTTCTTTTCTCCTCTCCTCTTCAACTTCCTCTTCCTCTCCCTTTCCCCTTCTCTTTTTCATCTTCCTTTACTTTAACTAACGTTTTTAAATTCTTTCTTCCATTTCCTCCTCCTCTTTATCTTTCTCTTCCTCTTCCTCTCTCTTTTAATTTTCCTCTTTTCGTCTTTTACATAACGTGGTCCACCATCGAGCGGGACACCCCATCGACCGGGACACTTTTCTAGACCACACCACTACAAACCGCCAAAAGTCCACCAAAATCTGAT